CCTCATTGGTGATGGCCTTCCGGCTAAAGGAGGGGCAGCGGCCATTCAGTGCCTTGCAGAAGCGGCAGAACTTTGGAGACTCAATAATGGATAACTGAATACTATCCATTGCGATCCAGCAGGTGATCGCTGACCACATTTGTTTGCACAGGGTGGTTCCCATGGCAAAGGCCTCCTGCTCCATGTATTGTGCCACCCCCACCTCGCGGCCCTTCTTAGCCGTCCGCGAAAGAAGCTCAGCCATGGGAAAAGTGACACTATCTGCCCGTGCTTTGTTTGCCAGCTCCACGGCAATGGGCAGCGTCTGCCGCGTGACCTTGTGGTGTCCCATATGCTTTTCCGCAGTTGATAAGGATGACGACTTGAAGGAGATCCTTTTGCCACATATGCGGCAAATGATCTTGCTGTGGTCATCTTCCTTCCCCGTAATGCTGTCGTATCTCACAAGGATGCAAGGCCACCCCTCCTCTTCCACACACAATGGCTTCACCCACCAGTTGCCACTCTGCTCGGGCCCCAACAGTGGGGCCACACACCTATTGGTGCCGGAGGCAGCACCCACTCCACCCCCTCCCTCAGGGGTGCATTCCTGCCCTTGCCGCTGGCCACGCGCTTCACCCCACCTCCACTTCCAGAGGCGGCCCCCGATGCTGTCAACAGGCCTCTAGGTGTTGCCACCAGCACAGATGCAGCTCCCACTCTGCCGCTCACTGACTCACCCTCGGGATCCCTGGCCGGTGACAACCTTTCGGATGGCCCAACAGCTGGTGGTTATCGTAGGTTCGGAGCCCCCTCGGCGGTGGGTTCCGGATCCGAGTCCCCCAAGTCCCCTGTCAACATATGAGCATAATCGAATAGGTCCGGGAGCAGGGCGCTGCCACCAACGGATGCCCCCTGACCTTCCCCCCTGCCGCTGCCATCACTGTCTCTGCACACCCGGATCCCTCACCTTTGAGGGGGGGGGGGCCGCCTTTCCGGGCGCCCCTCTATTTGGCCCCGGGCGCCTTCCGCCTGGCGCTATGTACCCCTGCCTTGGTGATGCCGGGCCGATGGGCGGGACTCCCCAACCTTCACAAGCCACCGCCTTGTCTGCTTGGTCTTGCCACCCATCGCAACAAGTGCAAACTGTGGTGCACGGGAGCAGGGGCGTTATGTTTGTGGACCGTGGGGCGCGCAGCCCACACGTCAAATCTGATTGCTGCATTCTCATTGGTACACGCATGAATTTGATGTTGTTATGTACTATGGGACGGACTCTGGAACGGCCTCTGGAACAACTTGGAACAAATCCCTGGAACGGACTCTAGAATGCCATGGGCAGTACAGGAACGGATTCCTAGGTAGGCCATACTGCACCGGAACGGAATCGGAATGGCTACACACCGTTCCAGATCCGTCCCAGACTGTTCCAGCCCAGGGACGGGCCATTCCTGGGCCTGCCGGCCCAAGGACGGGAATGGACTCTGGTCCGTTCCCGTTCCCATTCCTGTCTCCGTTCCTAGTCCATCCCCATTCCGGGATGGCCCACCTCTGCAATCGTGTGCATCCCATAGGTCAAACGTGGAAGGTGTGGAAGGTGTGAGCAGGAGCGAACACCTAGGAGGCGCAACACTCACGCATGCGCATGCCGCCCTTGCCACCCGCTTGTGCCATGTGTAGGCCCCAATGCACAGGTGCTTGCCGGTCTGCTGCGCTGCCTTGAGGCATGCCACCTGGCTTCTCCAAATAATGCACCACTAGCCTGCTGCACACCATGTGAGCACAGGGGGAAAGACATCGTGCTGACTATGCTCCACGCAGCACGTGGACCTACAATGATGGGAACAAGGCTTCAAGGACACTTTTTATTTTGCACAAGAACACAATACATAAGCGTTGCCTCACAGGCTCCACCATATGAAGCTATCGTCCATCGGGTTAAACAATGGACGCCGTGGGCACAGTGCGCATGGATGTCCAAGCTTGTTAAGAGAAGATGGTATTTTTTTCATATACATGGCATGCTTTACCCTGTGAGCTTGTGACCATGCTAATAACATGACAAAATAACATTTTGTTTCTGGGAAGGTCCCCCATGTTGTGCCAGCCTAGGAACAAAGGCAATGTGGGCTGCCTAGAGCAGTTGAGGATCCTGGCTCCCTCCAACACATTTCGCCAACTTGCAAGGCGAGGTCCAATACTTCAATCAGTATCGGCAGCCACCTATTCAAATGCGCTGCACACAAGCCCCCACTGGGCACCCATTGTTGTTGCTTGCCATAGGCTGTGGTCCATAGCGCAACCCCACGTTCCCCACCTACTAGCACAAGAGATCGCCTAGTAGGGATGATCTTTACCAGCTCCCCACCTAGCCCAGCCCACTATTGTGTATCCACTTGGGGTAAGGCAAGCTTGGTCATTCTGGGTGCTTTTTGTGTGTTTTGATTGCTTTTGGGTCAGTACTACTGGCCCAGTGGGTGAGGACGGGTGGTGAACAAGTACAATGTTGACAATTACAATGATTATGCACTTGGCATTTTTAATTCACAAGTTGCGGGGCATGCCCATCAACACTTGGTTAGTGTAGCTTCTGATGGCACCGCAGTGGGTCAGTTCCAAGGGGCGCCTCCTTGCCCAATGGCTGGCAGATCACTGCCAGCAATCTCCATAGATGCACCGCGGCCCGCAGTCCGCGGGCTTGACAGGGCAAGTGCCCGATCGATGCGAGGTGGGCCCAGTGATTCGCTTGGGGACTCACCCTGGGCGGTAGTTGAGTGTCTGGTGGAGGGGCGGAAGTGGAAGAGGCTAGGAACGGAAAGGGACAAGTTCATGCAAGTTCCACGGCCTGCATATTTGGGGACCCCATAGACACTACAACAATGTGCTGGTGCAATTTGCGCCTCACTCAGCCATTCCCAGCCCACCCACATGCCCAACCACCCCATAAACACCCTATCTTGCAATGCACGCACTGAGTGCCAATGTGTAAGAAGTTCCGCCAGCTTGTCTGCTTGGCCATCCCTGCCAAATATTAAAGAGCCTACTCATGCAAGATAGGGTCATCAATGGCTTAAAATGATGGGGGCAATGTGCAAACAGTAGTGGATCAAACCATTGCTGAGTCCAGACCAGATGTGGGGCAGATTGGAGTTTGTGGTGAACAAGGCGAATGCAAGCATGATGGTGTACGATTTTGCGTTTAATTCGATCCATGTGGATGAAACTCGGTTCTATCTACTGAGAGATGGGAAACACACATGTTACTTCCTGGGAGAAGTAATGGATCGTATGCTCATGGTCCAACACAAGAGCCACATACGCAAAACCATGTTTATTAGAGCGAATGCTAGGCCGAATCCAGTCCATTATTTCGATGGGAAACTTGGAATCTGGCAAGTATGTAGCGAGAAGGTGGCAGAAAATTTTAGCAAGCACCACCAAAGGGGGTATAGGTACCAAGTGGACACCATTGTAGACCCCGCTTGGCATTGCCATTGGTGTATTCAGAAGCTTTTGCCAGCAATCAAGACAAAAATGCCATGGATGCAAAACAGGGGCATGTTGGTTCAGCAAGATGGGGCTAGGCCCTGCGCAAGACAAGGAAACTTGGAAGGCCTTAAGGAAGCCAGGCAGACAAGTGGCTGGTCGATTGACATGATTGCCTAGCTACCGCTAAATCCCCTGATTTAACATCAACGATCTTGGGTTCCTTAGATCATTGAAAACAAGACTCTTAGAGATACGATTCAGCACCATGGATGAAGTGGCTAGAACTGGAGAGGAAGCGTATGAACATAATGATGCAGACACCCTGGAGCGTGTGTGGAGCGTGCCTGTTTGTCGTGTACAACAAATTGCTTGAGGAATTTGTGGGAAATGGGTACACAATGGAACATACTGGATTAGGATTAGGCAAACCCAACAACATGGGGAACTCAGGGTGTGTACAGCCGTGGACAGGGAAGCTTTCCGTGGACTCTGCTGTATGGTGCTGATTGAGTGTAATCCGGATCCACATCCATCAGATATCGACCAAGGAATCTGAATCTGGTGTCAGATTGACTAATTGAGTTGATCTTGCAAAGTTATTGTGAGAAAACAAAATTCGGACAATACTTTTGGAACGGAGGTGGTGTAGTTCTTGACCTGCACATAATATCATTTTTGACTTGCATCACACTCTTTTTCGGGGGCGCCCCACTGTTCAGAACCTGACTGCTCAGGCTCGTGTGTATGGTTGCGGAAACTGTGGGTGATTGTGATCAAGAGATTAAGGCGAAATGGCAACATACCCCAAGGGAGGCTGCTCCATTAGATCATCTGGTTGCTCATATATGGTCCGGTTTCCAGGGGTCAACGGTGTGTTTGGCAGAACATCCATGTCAGGGCATGCCTGTTGTCTGCAGGATATGTGAGTCCCTTGATTTTCTGTTGTTGTGGACACCCTTCTTATGTGAATATCGTGTGAATGCAGTGTCACATATTCTATGGGAAATTCCTGAGGTATATTCAATCAAACCAGTAGCTGGTCATATCCACCCAGTGCAGAAAAGCACGCAATCGGTTAGCGGCTCTTTCTGAAGTCAGAACGAGTTCAACTATGCAGCAATATGCCACCAAAGACGTCAATCCACATCCCACATTTGGGGCCACTATACATCAGAATGTCAAGGGCCGACAAGAATGGTGCTGAGAGTCCCAAGGGCAGGAAAATCTGTTTCACATATTGCACTGAGCAGAAATTGATATTGGGAGTACACTAAAGTTCAGAAGATCAGTCAACCCATGGACAATATAAAGCAATGCAAGGTTCTGTCGTAGGAAATGCGAACAGAGCACTTGCATAATGTGCGTGATGCAAAGTTTGCCCTTGCAGGACTCGGATTCGAGGGCCACAAAAAGTTCATACAATAGCCAACATATGTCATGACAAGCACCAGCCATTCTTGTATCCATTCCTTCTATTCCCAATTCACATCACCGAAGCACAAGTAAACAAAAGGATTCCTACATCGTACATATCAAGAAATTCGAGACTTGGATGTCCCAGCGCTGGCACGATGCTTGATTAACAAGATGAGCAAAATAATTAATGGAGCCCAAAATTGGATGTTTCTAAACAAGAATTGATAGACGCTGCCAAGGGGTGAAGCAGGCACGCTCTGAGAAGGCACAAGCCCTCGGTTCTCGTCCACCTCTATCATGAGCGTTTTCCCTTTTGTCCCAGTTGTGGGTCCCTTTGAATAGAGTCCTGGCAAGTAGGCCTTGTAGGCTGGCATGTATCTTGTTACAAAGTCCTTCACCTGCCGATATGCACGCAAATGTTGTCACTATTTGAAACAAACGCTTTGAAACACGTACAGCATATTTGCGCCTATAACACACTTTGCAACAGAGTGCTGCTGCAGATGCCCAGTACCATGATTTAACAATAATGCCATGTTGTGTGGCATTTTCATTCCGCCATGTGGCTGCTGCTGCTATCCATTTATCACCTTCTATATCATGGGCGAAAATTATGTTTTCCTACTTTTGCGGCAGGGATCAGACAGAGTCAGAGAGAGACAGGGCAGCACGTTGTCTCTATTGCAAGGGCAGAAAAACACCTGGCCTTGCAGCGACTTGGATCCACAACAACAGCCAAACAAAGCACATCACATCAGTGCGATGCCTCTGGCAATCCCTGATGGGCCTTTGTGTGGCACATTCTGTCTGCAGAAGACAAGGGCTCATGTAGCAGTTGAAATTTGTAACTGAATGTAGCTGGTGCAACAACGAAACTACTGTGTCACTTCTCAAGGATTGCTTCCTGATGTTGCAATAATACTGGCTAAGTCCTGCCATTGTCCAATCACTGGAAGGAGAAGCACTGGCAGTCGCCATACCTAGAGAGTTACATCAAAACACTGGAGAACAATAGTGCACTGGACAGTGGTAATTTGTAACAGAATTGGACAGCAAAATGCAGGTGCAACTCTGCAGGGTGTTGCTGGACTGTGGTAGATCTATGGACTTACTATCTACCCATTTGCTAGACTAATCTCCACAGGATCAAATCCACACAACATTATGCTGTCCATGTGCACAGCAGCTAGAATCGTGCAAACACTTGTGACCTACAGAAAACATGCTAGGCGCCTCACACCTGCGGCATCTGTCATGCAATCCCTTCACAATTCTGGTACCAAAACCAGAAGGGTACACGATCACCACGATTTGTTCAATTCCAAAAGTTTATGCAGGTGTTGTGAGCTGGTAGATGGATGCATGTTTTCGGCTATGATCGTCTGTATCACTCACTTTCTTGAATTCGAACCCAATACGCAAGCAGAACTGAGCTCACCCTGATACATGCATTTGGGTGCCACAGCACTGTGCACTGACAGTAACTCTGCTACATATTGGGATAGCATGGCATCAAAGGAAATGGGAACATCCCATCACCAACAAGACAAGAAGATTGACTCGTGCTAATTGAGCCTTTGGGGTGCGGGATAGCAATGAGTGCTGACCAGCTTGCGCCATTCACAACAGAGTGCATTGGTGGACAGTAAGTTACTGTGCCATTCCAACCAAATGCATGGCTTGGCTATATGTCAGTGCAGGATGTCAGCCACAGATTGTCAACATTCAGCACTGTGCTTTTCATGCTTGATATTCAAGGCTGTGGAATCTATGGAGAACTACAGCCCAAGACAAACGCAAACTGTCTCTGGTGTTGATGCCACATGCATTTCGATGAACAACAGCAAATAAACAAGTGCACAGTGCTTGCCCCACATAGGATGCCAACTGTGATAACTGTCCATGCACCTGATCGTCCGTCATTCCAGGCATGCCACTCGTCCGCATTGCCTGCTCCGCCTGCAACCTCCATCGGAAGACGTACTCGGGGTCCTGCACCTTTACCACTAGCCAGCAGTCCACAAAGCTGTCCCAGGCATTCTTGTAGTCCTTCAGAGCTTCGTTCACGATGCCCAGGTCAGCGTCCACTCTGACAGCCTCCTCCATTTCCACAGGTCGAAAGCCCAGCATCCACCCCTCAAACAGTATCACAGAGAGGGGCCCCTCCACCACTGGCCACGATGCTTGGTCCGCCCTGTCTCCCCTGCCCTGGTTTTTAGACTTGTCGTACCTGGGAACCAACACCTTGCGTCCGGATTCCGTGAGGCTGCGGAGACTAGTTAAAGTAGAGGTACCCAGCGCCATGTCGTGACTACATGCGTTGCCCCTCAGCTGCACGAGACTGTTTTCGGGATGGGCCTGCGCCAGGGCAGTCTGGTCGGCGTATGTGAGGTAGAAATCGTCGATGGATATCGACGCAGCGGCCAGGTCCATGGAATTGAAGACTTCCTGCAAGCAGGCAACGATCGTCGACTTTCCGCATCCTTGGGGGGCACTGATGCCGATAACAAGAGGAGAAGGCGTGACGTCGCCACTGCATTCCTTGTGCGCCATCAACTGCTTGTGGCACCACATGAAGACGGGCAGGTAGTACTGATACACCCTGGCCCCCTTGGACTCCTCTGCGTTCATGTCCACGTCGCTGAACTTGAGATGGCTGGCGATCCTCGCAGCGGCATCGAGCCAGAACTTCCAATCAGCCTTCACGTCGTCGGCAGAGAAGCCACAGTTTCCCAGGATCGGGCTGGCGAGGACCAGGTCTTCGGGCGTCATGGCTCCCACTGGACCTGTTGCGCAGGACCACACCACAGCCGGATGAGTAAACACCGCGCCTAGCAAGCGAAACGCACCCTGAAATCGACGCTCATGGAGTGCTCGGCAGTGGCCAGCTGTCGGTGTTGTGGGCTATTTCGCGGGACCCATCAGCATTTCCATGTTCTGCAAGTAGCACCCTTCGTCTCGACCAGGGCATGTTCGTCCCCTTGCACACAATCCTGAACCCACAAGACAACGCCACTCCACACTGCCGAAGGGCGTCTTGAACACCTTTGCGGGGGGTCAAAGCGCGACAGGGCAGAGAGACGTCCGACAACGCCTGACCTCCGCAGAAAATGGCGCGAAACACTTGACAACAGCGAGCAAGCAGCAACCCGGCATCTCTGCCATTCCAGACACCCCCCCGCCGAGATTATGACTTATGCTCTGTCTCCACGCGTTGAGTGGGGCAACACAGACTCCAGTTTCGGACTCAGCTGTTTTGCACAGTTTTCGCCTATCGTATGCGCAATCACCCCTTCCCCCAGATCCAAATCCAAAGGAGATAGTGGCCCGCGGGGCAGTTACAAACACGGGGACCAGGCGTACCAGTATCAAAGACAACGTCCCTCACCTCCCACCGCTCTCCAGGGGACTCAGCAAAGAAGGGCAACGACGTTGTGGTGAGTGGAGTGGATGGTGGTCTGGCTTTGGCCCGTGGGCGTCTGGGTGGTTTGGGTGGGAAGATTGACGTTGACGTGTAACCCACGGATCGCCGCCGGCCAAATCAGCCTCCCCACAGCAACCTACCACTCAAATCAGCTGGGTGGAAGGCAAGTTGCAACTGTGCCAAAACAACTCGGTGAGGCCATAAATAGGCAACGGCACAGGCAGGGAAATACAGTCAAGGGAAAATGGGACCTTTGTTGGTGCACTTAAGAGTCCAACCCATCACATCTACACATTTAAGCTCAAGTACGACTCACAGGAGCCGCACTTTTATACAACCATACAATGCGTAGTACAGTGTGTTCCCTAATAATTAACCCAACGGTATTTAAAATAATCCACCGTCAGTCAAGCCAGGCCTGCCCACAGTACAGCCCAAAGTACGGTGGGAGCACGTACAGCATCGACAGGCCCATTGCCACGCTGGTGTTCAAACAAGGCCTTTCCGTGTAGCAGCAAGCCTCGCAACGCCGGCTGTGCGTCCCTCGGACGAAGCGTAAAATTCTGACACGGGCGATTGGCGTTTATTGCCGTTGGCACGCTATGAGGTTTGGAGGCATCGGCATCAAAGCGGGTGGCAGGGCGCAAGCCAAGCGAGCACAGGTCGCGAATGCACTGAGTGCGAATGTGATTGGCCCCCCCCAAATGACAAACCCCAGTGACGGAGCCAATAGAACCGGCAGCGGAGCGGAGGTGCAAGGCAACACAATGTAGCGCAAGGAGGGGAGCTTTTGGGACTGCAATGGTGCAGGGGCGGCAGGAGTTGGTGCCCAGAAAATGCGAATCGGAGGGCACAATGCGCCTGTCGTGGGCACGCACTCCCGCCACCACCAAGTGCCCTCCCAATGTAGAACGGAATACAGAAACTGGCCCATGGGGCACGAGTCATGGC